TGAAGAAGATGTGCAATGGCAGGATCCTTATGCAGACCCATATGCTGTTCGACCAGGCGAAATGGTCCGCCGTCATACTACCCATGACATCGCCATGCGTGGACCAGAGCGACCAACAACCAGCCGCTCCAAGTCCGATGCTCATGTCGACATGGATCTAGCATACGGCGACTTTCATCCTTCGGCCCTGGAGAAAGTGCCACCACCCCCCGAACCACAAAACCAGCTCCAGAGAATTGAGAACCCGGAACTGAATACTCTTGTGGATCGGGCGCAGTGGCTCTTAGAAGAAGCTGACTGCATGCAACATACCGCGACCGCCACGATCGCACATCTCCAGAAGAACCCAGATGCCATGGCTGCTGTGGCACTCACCTTGGCCGAAATCAGCAACATTGCCACGAAGATGGCGCCGTCCGCGCTCTCGACCCTCAAGGCTGCGGCCCCTACGGTCTTCGCCCTGCTTGCAAGCCCACAATTCTTAATCGCAGCGGGTGTTGGTATCGGAGTCACAATCGTCATGTTTGGTGGCTACAAGATCGTCAAGCAGATCCAAAACGCCACCACCACTACCCCCAACAGCCCCATGAGGGCAGCGGCGGCTGCTCCAGAGGAAGATCCCGGCATGGATGACATGATGGAGTTCAACACAGAGTGTCTAAGCACTGTCGAGATGTGGCGGCGCGGCGTAGCAGATGCCGAGGCCGACAGTGTTGGCACATCCGTCGATGGAGAGTTCATCACACCCAAAGCAGCAGCAATGTCAGGCATTGATGTGACTACGGCACGAATGTCACGGGACCCTCGGTTCAAGTTCGACGATGATGACCAGTCGATGGCATCCTCTCGCAGATCTCGTCGGTCACGCAGCCATCGTGAAGGCTCCCGCGCCAACCACCGACCAGAATCGCATGTCAGCTCGAGGGCACCTTCCAAAGTTTTCTCTAAAGCGCCATCGAAGGCCCCGTCGAGGGCGCCCTCCTACGCACCTTCCAAGGCCGAGTCCCGTTACTCAGACATGGAGCCGAAGCCGAAGGAGAAGAAGAAGCGATCCAGCCGTTTGCGTCTGATGTTCACTGCTTGATTTACTACGTCTATATATTTTTCTTAACGACAGATCGACACTTTACGACATGTATATAATATTGTATATTCCGGTTTCGGATTACATTACGACAGGATGGATATTTGCTTGGCGCAGTTAGAATTAGCGAAACTTCTTCATTCTTTGACCTACGATCGGTGGTGAATTGTGTCTTTCTCCTCACTATCATTTGACATGATACTGTTGCACATTTGGCGTTTGATACCACTCCTTATGCATGTAGAATGCCCTCTGATGTTTATTTTGTTTTCCAAACTGCATATACTTGAATTGTGACAATCTACCATGGGACATTCAGGACAGTGAAAAGTTGATACTGAATATGAAAATTTATAGTATAACTGAGTCTCCTTTTATATTTCTTCTCATACATAACTTTTTGAGAGGTTTGCCAGTAACAACTTTTTCTCTGAGTGTTATAGTAGCAGAATCATATGTTTTTCATCCACTCATACTACTACCACTATTCACCCTATACGCACCATACAAGTCAAGTATCTTACACGCAACGGTTGAGAATGTTGTTCCATTCTATCATTACGAGTCATTGATACCTTCCATCCTCAATTAATCACTTCCCCGTCAGGGATGGTACAACCGATCATCTTACTTCGGTGTAGTAGTGTATGGGAACTGGTATGAAACTGCAAAGATCATTGCTACTATGTAGGTGAATATATAGATTCTTATGGGCTGCCAGTAGTAGTGATTATTTCATAAGTACTACTCCAGACGGGAAAGGAAGCGTAATGATTAATGAGTAGATAGTCATTACTTCAATTATAGTCCGGTTGAGCCACCGATGGTATTGTAAGTGGCTATACAGACTTCTTTCTAGTAATAAGAATGTAAGCAGTATATTAGGTTATAAATTACTATGACAACTTCATTACTTTGTCTCTTGCAACTCTGCACGTAGTATACTATGTTGGAAGCTAGAGAATTGAAGTATCTCATTAACCCGTAGTAGAAAACCTTCTGTTACATTCGACATGGAAACGATGCGAGATAGAGCTAGTATATATATATATTATATTTTATTAAACTTCTCTGGATATCATCTAAGTACTACTATTGAGTATATATACACTGTCTCTTTTCGGATGTAGTAGACAACTATAGTGACTGTAGAATTCAAATATAGGACTATAATATATCATCATGAACATGAACAGAGCATTCTACCTTAGATGCCCTTTCAATTCCAGCCAGAATAATCACTACTGCACCATCCCAGCCACCGAAACCTAATATAATGTATGTGAGAACGACCTCAATTTTGGATCTGATAGACACGCGTAGTAATCTTAGTCCGTCTGGAGGTAAGTTCATGGTTAATGGAACTAATATACACTAGTAGTCGTAGTTTAGTGACAGCAATACTAGTGGGTAGTGGGGCTACTACGTAGTATGTACTTCGGCTGATGTTGTTGCCGGTATACTCTTGTGTTTGTTTGGTTTGGGCGTGGAGGGGGCTTGTTAAGTGGTATTAGGATGGGATGGATGTACGGCATTTCTTATCTATACTCGCTAACATAGTATTTGTGGGTACTGGGTACAATGGTGCCCTGGATATGAGTTAAAGGTGTGGTGCTACTGGTAGTAGTGCTTGGTATAGTAATATCTTTGTAAGCTTACTACTCTCTATAGGCTGGCAGTGGCCATCTGTCTTCTTCAAGCAGTAGTATAATCCTGGGTATTCCTGCCTTAATGTATTGATTTATAGGCTCCAGTTTTTTCCGCATCTGGTCTTGGAAAGGATGGGTGGACTGCGTCAATAATCAATGTAGGCAATAGCCGAATGGGAAGATTCGGTCACAATACAATGTTTACTGTAGGCTGAGGATATTGTTGACATGGACATATGTTACTCTCTGGGAGACGAACTATGGGCGTCAATAGTTCTGCACCAGCTTTCATGCCAGGAGGATCCGGGAGGAAGACAACCTCCTGCGACGTAGGAGTTCTGGGCAAAGGGCATTATACTGCCTCTGAAGATGAGGGAAGGATCTTTTTGCCATTGCTTATAGACTTTCAGTAATAACGATTTCACCTTACCTGCTCCCTGGATAGGGACTTCAGTATATAATCCGGTGAGTGTGTAAGGATTTGGGGAAGGGGGTTGGTGAGTCTATATGATAGTATGGCCTATGCAGCAAGTGAGGTTCCCATTGGCTCATGCAAGGACTGATTTGCTTCGTTCCCAAAGACGATCGTCCTTCAGTTGGCGGTTGGTTGTTTACCACGTCATGCCGAGTTCATGAACAAAGCAATGTGCAGGAGATTATTCTGGAAGAGGCATCAACAATAGTATGATTGGTGGGTCGGTGACTATAGACTTTGGGCGGAACAGTCAAGCACGTTTACGCGGCTGTTGTTGTTTCCGCAGCTTGCCGACCGACGCGCTGACGCTGGACGGCAGGGATAGACCTAGTTCTGAATGCAGGTACTGCAAGGTCGTTTATGGTGAGCAGGTCGTTATCTACATGATATCAAAGGGATTCAGCAGGGAGTCGACCCTGTTTACTCCCCCTAGAACCTCGTTATCAATTGTCGAGTCAGATCGCAACATAATGTTTGCGGTCAATCGTCCGATATCGGTCACGTCTTTCGGGCGTTGAGAGCATCTGCAACATACGCAGAACACAAATTCCCAGGTTACACAATCCTCGTATCCGTTGTAGGCAATCTCATCACACTGCCTCATGTAGTAGGCTTCGAGAACAATAGTGCGAAGCTAGAAGGTGCTGGCCATGCGTGGGTTGCGTATGGTATGCACTAGGCAGCTCATCACCTAGCAGTAGTTTCAGCATCGGCTGAGCGTTGCATTTCAGCTCGGCAATCATGTGGTAAGACCGGCAGAGAACAGCACAGCAAGTGTCAGAGAGAGATTGGGGGGAGGAGAAGAGATGATGATGATCCTGCTATTCAACCCACCGTGTAGATAGTCGGAGTATCAAATTGTAGTCTGGAACAAGGGCATTATGGAAGGGCATTCGGCAATGGGACGGGCAGGCGTTTGCCGCGCGAGGAGGGCGAGAGAAGCGAAGACGGAAACAGTGGAGAAAAGGCGGCGTGAACAAACAATGTTGGAGACCGGCAAATGAAGGCGGGCGAACAGCCGGCTTTGCATTCTTTGCACACCCAAATCACGTCCCGTGATTGGCTCCCCAGGAAAAACCGTTCGGCCATTCGCCCGTTTTGCTGCCTCAGCGCCTTCGCTGGCCTGCCTTGCAGCTCCAGACTCGCACACCATTCCGAGTCAAACACTAAGATCTGTGGTCTTACTAACCTCCTGTACACAATGCAGCGGACTAATTTGACATCATGCATCCTTAGTATCAGGTGGAGCCTCGCGCCCACCACTTCCGGGGTCGACATGACCCTCGCGGACAGTTGGCTTGCTTCTCCTCCTTTCGCCATTCAGGACCCAATAATGGTCCAATGATGCACTTCTGGTCTGACCTATACTCACCGGGGTTGTGGAGGGCTGGTCTGGTCTTGCTTCCTTCGGTGGAGAAGCGATCTGGGGGGTTCGCGTCCTGCCGTCATTTCCGGCTGGAGGATGGACAACCGAAGTTTGAGCCTGGCTCTGGAATTCTTTATCAGGAGCGTGCTTGCCCATCTTGACATTCTCTGTTGTTGCTGTTGCTGTCGCCAGTTTATCAATCTATCAGTGTTTTCAATCAACTCCCGTACCTGAGTGGCGAACCCTCATTCATCCACGGATATTGTACGGCCCAGATTTGCCCTTAGCCTAGGACCTCCGAATTTTTTCCCCAAATTTTAAATCTTTATTTGCTGGCCCCGGCCCTCTTTTCCGCTTCCTTTATCATCTTTGTTCTGTTTCATTGTAATCCAAACTTTGTCAAACCTTTTGGATTTATTCGCGAATATGGAACAAGCAAAGACTCCTCTGCAGGTGATCGTGGTTGGGTAAGTTCGAACCCTCGTCTCGCCTGAGTCACTATGTATTGTTGCTGACATTACCCTATAGTGCCGGTAGGACTCCTGTCTCATAGACCTGAAAGCGAAAGAAGCAGGTGACTAATGAAATCAGGCATTGGCGGCATGGCTGCGGCCCTGACCCTGGGTATGCGAGGACATCATGTTACCATCCTTGAGTCCGCTCCCAAGGTGCGTATACCGCTTTATCCTGATACGTCTTGCTGACTGACCTTTCTTAGCTCATGGAAGTTGGTGCTGGTATTCAAGTCTCACCTAATATGCTGACGCTGTTTGACCGTAAGCGCCCCTTACTGCTCCTGTTACTTAACCCCATCTGATGATATGACTCAGGGTGGGGCGTGTCTCCGTTGATCCACGCCCAAGATGTTGCCCTCGAGCACATCCATGTAAGACGGTGGGAGGATGGTAGCATGCTCGGAACCTTGCCCGTGAACAAGACCTACGGCCAACAGACCGTCATTCACCGCGCAGACCTCCACAATGCCCTTATTGAACAGGCGCTGGCGCTGTCGAATGTGGAACTGCGTGTGAACTCAACGGTCACTGGAGTCCAGTTCGACCAGGCCGCGGTGCAATTGGCCAACGGCTCCATCGTTAAAGGAGACATCGTGATCGCGGCTGACGGCATCAAGTCTGCCCTCCGCGATCACTTGCTGGAAGAAGCATCCGTCGCTATCCCTACGGGTGATGCAGCCTACCGGATCATGCTGCCCCGTAGCGCTCTAGAGAACGATCCTGAGCTGAAGGCGCTGGTTGATGAACCACAAGCCACTCGGTGGCTCGGACCTGGCCATCATATCATCGCTTATCCAGTGCGAAACCATGATTTGTACAACGTTGTCCTGCTTCATCCAGACAGCCATTCTGTCGAGGAGTCGTGGACCACCAAGGGTTCCAAGCAGGCCATGATCGACAACTACAAGGGCTGGGACCGGCGCGTGACGAAGCTTATCGACTTGGTGCCGGACGACGAAGTCCTGGAGTGGAAGCTGTGCCTACACGCCCCGCTAAAGACCTGGATCAGGGGTTCCGTGGCTCTCATCGGTGATGCCTGCCACCCAATGCTGTAAGCACCCCTTATGTTATGATGACCTGTCTTGCACTAACGTCCCATAGGCCATACGTCGCTCAAGGTGCCGCCCAGGCCGTCGAAGACGCTGCTGCCCTTGGTGTCCTGCTCTCCACCATCTCTTCCCGTGATGAGATCCCTCTTGCGCTCAAGGCGTATGAGCAATCACGGAAACCCCGCGCAGACACTGTCCAGCAATCCGGGTCGGAAAACCGCATCACGCTCCACCTGCCCGATGGCCCGGAGCAACGCGCGCGTGATGAGCGGTTCCGCTCCTCCCTGAAGAGCGGATCCAACCCCGACCGGTGGACAGATCTGGAAACCCAGAAGTTCCTCTGGGGTTGGGATGCCGAGAAGGCAGCTCTGGATGCATGGAATGGTAAGTTGCCATCGCCATCAGCTTCCTACCTCTGGTACGACATGCTAACAAACCTAGAACTCCACGGCAACCACGTGTCCGAATTGCGGCACCACCTGTGATTTGCCATCTGCAATATGTCGCATGCACAAAACAAACACGTTCCTTCTTCAACATGATTGGGATTGATTAACACTTTTAGCCCTGGCGTTCTCATCAACGTTACAATTAGCGATTTTCATATACTTTTATGAATAACTGTACATACATTCCAACAGGCATATAGAATGCACATATGAACCTTTCTCACTCTGCTTTGTTTTCTTTTTCTAGGCTGTTGACTTATCGGTAACTGACGAATGATGTGAAGGGGTGCTGGCAATAAATAGGAACTCGTGATGCCTTGTGACCGTTCCAGCTGACACGGAGAAAACCAGAAGCAAAATTTATGATGGAGAGCTGAACAGCAATTGCTTTTCGGACGAGCAAAGGATTTTGTTACACAGGACAAGAGCACAGAAGAGCAGAGGAGGGGACGATGGAACTTAGACAGGCAGATAAGAACTAAAACGTGACCGATGGTCCGAACAGGGATAGTTAGCCTGACTAGACTATAGCGGATGACTAGTAGTGGCCCGTTATACACAGAGGTAAGAACTCATTCATTGAAGTAGAGTATAATAAATAATAATTACTCCTAGGATGTACATAAGGCTAATTACAAAGTTCTTTATCTACCATTTACCAGATCCTCTTGGCCACCATCTCGTAGCGTTGGACATGATCCATGTTCAGGTCCTCCTTGGTGTTCTTGTCTTTTTCTTCTTTGGCCTTCAGCCGACGCAAGCCCTCAGGGTCGTCCGCATAGATCCATCGTCGATGATCATCGTTGACCTCGACTACGCCCCATCCGCCGAATCGTCGGCCGCCTTCGACTGCAAATGCTCGTCCACGCGGTGCTGTCCCGTTGGGTTCATCCGCAGGTGCTGCCGGTGGGGCATTGGGTTGATTAGATGTTTCACGTAGCTTCATCGCTTTGTATCGAGATCGGGCGTACGCTAACAGGACCATACCCAAGAGAAGCTTCAGGATTAGGAGGACCACGAAGCCTGTTAAGATGAGGACTATGGTGAAGATGTATACGGATTGGGCGGGCGATGGCATGGTGTTGGCTAGAAGCTGGCGGAAGAAGGCACCCACGTATGCGGTTGACGTTGGGATAAAGTTCCGCAGCGTCAACGGAGGTGGTGAGGGCATTGGAGCCGGCACGTACTGGCTGTGAATAGCGGATAGAGTAGTGGCCTCTACCGCTGTGGAGGAGGGCTGTTGAGGAAGCAAGGCAGTAATGAACATCTGGTACGTTTGGACGGAGACTCGGAAGAAGAGACAAGACAGTGGGATCACCGGTAGACCTAAGCGACGGGTCAGGTTCTGGTCTGCAAAGGCGTTGGTGTAGTAGTCCTTCGCAAGGATATCCAGAAACCGTCCGTAGATGGCTGGCCTCGTGTTGTTGAATTTGCCAATGTAGGCATGCTTTAGCCAATCCACTAGCATTTCCGACCCTAAAACGACCAAGAACGGCCCTAGAACCTGTGCGAGAGTCGGCAAATACGTGTTCACCTGACTGAAGGACGCAATTATTGATGATGGCACAATTGTAAAGGCCTGTGGCAGGATAGACGAGGAGGTCCGGGGAGGAGTCGAGAGGGGCGTGCTGTTGGTCCCCGTGGATGTGTATCCTCCAAGACTGAAGCTCAAGCTACCAAGGGCATTGAACGCTCCGGTCTCAACAAGGTTTCGCGACGCGATGATGGTAAGCATCAACCAGAGCTGGAACCGCTCAACCACGTCTGCGCAGAGAAGCTGGAAGAGATTCTCTTTCTCGAATTTCTTGAACACCGTGGATTTGATCTCCACAAACTGGTTTGAAAGCAGTAGGGTAATGAGCGCATTCGAATACGAATTCACCGCGACGTTTAACGTCATCACCTGATAAAAGAGGGCCGTTGCGTGGATGACTGTGTATGCTAATGCCAGCAGGAACAATCCAAATGGTCGGAAGACCTTGCTGCGCCCGTCCGGGCGACGCTCGAGAGCTTCCCGCGAAAATAGACACTCAAGCACGTCTTGTCCAATGGCAGCGAATAACCGATCGCTGACCTCTAGCACATTATAGATCACATAGAGTTTGATCGCAGCCTGTCCTCGGATCCAGTGATACATACGACTTGCATCAAAGCGCATCAACACGCAGCAGGTAGATATGATGAGCAGCCCTTTGAGAATGTCAGCCTTGTCATCTGGCATCAAAGCTGACGGGATGCTCTTCTGCCGCCGGTGCTTATGGTGGCGCTTGCGCTGTTCTGTGGCCCGATTGCGGGACTCTCGTTCCACTGATCCGTTCTCATGCTTCTCAGAGGTGGACTTTCCAGGGTCAGCAACCTTCGAAGATTCGTCCGTCGATGATGCTCGGTGTCGCCTCCGCCACACTCGCCCAACACCTTTGAAAATAAAACCTGTCACATAACGAAACTCAACGCCAAGATTGACAGCCCACGACTCCAGAAGAATATACAATGCTTTTATAAAACGAAGAGGAAGAATGGTAAATGTATGCAACCAAGAATCGAGACACGCTAATATACCAAACCAGAGGACTCGTTCCAATGCGGGAGGCAGCATCAAAAAGTTCATCAGACGTTCAAGTTTGACCCGAGACGATTCATATGGAAAGTCGCTCATTGCGGAGCGGTGAATGTATAGCGGAGACGGCCGACCGGAGGCCAATTCTAATTGTAGGTATGTCGGAACGGACAACGGAGGGAGAGGAATTGTTGGAGGCATAGGGGACGGTAGAGCAGGCTCAGGGCCAGTAATGTGTGGCGACGGGGTAAGGTGCTTTCCATCAGACTCTCGACTAAGAGAGGCGCGCTCTTGCTTCCCCCGTGATGTCCAAGTCTGCGCCAGTCGTTCACTGGTCGTTGGCATGGTTTGCCGTCGCGAGCTGGGTGTAGATACAGCCCGAGAGCCTTGCGGCCGAGTCCGAGCAGGTTGCTTAGCTGCCGTGGCAGCAGAGACGTCGATGGCTAGATCCTTGCTGGGACGAAGTTTGGGGACGCTGTCGCCGGTTACCTTATGCTCATTCGGTAAAAGAGTCGCAGATTGGTCAGGCTGCGAAGGTGAGATCGCTGCATGCATGCCATCTGATACTGCACGTCGACCGCGGTCCGACTCCGGGGGTGCTGCACGATAAGGAATAGACTGAGGGGATGATGTGAGTTCCTGCATCCTGGCCGGTGAAAGCTTAACTACCCGCTCCTGCTCCTTATCTTGGTTCCTGACAGGGGATGTGTTCTGCGACCACCGATGGACGACGGAAGCTACGTCGGGACCTTCGAAAACATCCACTAAAGAGGTCCTCGATGTCGTACGATGATCTGCGCTGTCCGAGCCCTCCAACGAGTGTTCGAAGATCATCCCTAGGGCCTGGTCTGAAGGAAGCACTGGCTGACCGCTTTTCTGGTCGCCGTTCACCGTGGGTTGGCTGGGAAACCTATTTAGGTCGTGGTCGCTGACAGGCGCACCAAATCGGTGTATGGCTTCCTCCTTATTGCTCCGCTCGTGAGCACTCATAGTATCCGATGCTGCGGATCTTTCTTGTTGCATGGTTCGGCTTAATGTACCGTTGGCATGATCCTCCTTATCCTCGCGGTGCGAATCTACCGGTCTGCTTTGCCGAGAATTTCCAACCTCCAAGCTATGACCTTCGCGATCCATGCCGCTCTCATGTTCTCTCTTCCGGGGAGATACTGGCGTTTCCTGTCCGCCCGGTGCGGCCGCAAGGGTGATCGTGTCTGATGCTCGCTGGCTGAGGTGGTCGGGTAGTTCATCCATAATCGATATCAATGACTATTGACCATTATATAGCAGCGCAGATTGGGTATTAACACCGATGTCATGATCCGAAACAGCCTCGAGGGATTCGTCGGCGGGGTTGGGGGAAAGGCGAGGCCACGGTGGTAGGGGTGGATGATAGTGCCGAGCTGGCTGACTGCGCAACGCGACCAGCGGACCGAAGATTAAGGGGAATTCGGGATCATGCTGTGGGTAATCTGCGGACTGTCAAACTTGATCAAAGAAAATCAGCCCTTGTTAGAAATTGCAGAAATCGAAAGAACACTTTCGTAGCGACGAAGTTGCTTATCATGAAAACCAGAATGAGACCCTGGGGGCTTTGCTTGCGATCCCCGGAACCCCAAGGCGGTCAGCGGCCTGTCATCCCCAACCGTCCTTTCGCTCTTCGGATTTAATTATCTCTAAGGCCGAGATCGATGAAACAGCTAAGCGTCATGTCATTCAGTGAGTAAGGAGTAGTGCTATCCAATTATTATCTAACTACAGGTGCGCCTCCAGAGCTTTGTTGCTATCCTTATTTCTCAAGGCCTCATCGTCAAAGGGAACACTCTTCGGTCTAGCAGGCAGATCGAGCATATCCAAAGACACGGCCGGGGTAAATGTATGAGCCCATCGTTTCCACAACTCCCCTGGCATCAGCCCTGCATACTTAGTAAGCAGAAACTCCTTCAGCTCCGGGGTATCCATTGTGTCCAATCTCTGTCGTTTGTGAGTTGTTTCGACGATACTAAATGTGCGCGGCTCGCGAATATTCTGCACTCGCGCAAACATCAACTGAATCTCCGACTGAGAGAGCGGGCCTGAGCCCGAGGCCTGCGACAACGCTGTCATCAAGCCATTTACCAGGGCCGCGGCGCTTTCCAAAGCCTGATTACCCCCTTGCGCGGTAATAGGGAGGACCTATACCGATCCCACCAAATGCTTAGTCGCGGTATGACACTGATAGAAAGGGGCCGGGTTTCCTCACCTTGTGGCAAGCGTCTCCAATAGTAATGATCCTTCCCAGGTGCCATTTCTTGTAGACGAACTCTGGCATTGGTGTGTATATAGTGCTCAACTGACGCTTGTAGAGATCGGACAGGCGAACATTTGGCGTGACCTGGTCATTCCAATGCTCTTGAAGAGTGCGCTGCTTGTCTTCTTCACTGAATCGAGGGATGTCGGCACCGTAGTATGTCTGCTTCATCTTCTCCATCAGGAACCAATA